TCCACTCTGAGAGACAGAATTAAAAAAAAAATTCAGGGCTGTCTCTGAGCAACACGGAGTTTCAGCTCCCTCCAAAGATGTTCTATTGGATTTAGGTCTGGAGACTGGCTAGGCCACTCCAGAACTTTGATATGCTTCTTACGGAGCCACTCCTTGGTTATCCTGGCTGTGTGCTTCGGGTCATTGTCATGTTGGAAGACCCAGCCACGACCCATCTTCAATGCTCTGACTGAGGGAAGGAGGTTGTTGCTCAAAATCTCACAATAAATGGCCCCATTCATCCTCTCCTTAATACAGTGCAGTCGTCCTGTCCCTTTTGCAGAAAAGCACCCCCAAAGCATGATGTTACCACCCCCATGCTTCACAGTAGGGATGGTGTTCTTGGGATGCAACTCATCCTTCTTTTTCCTCCAAACACGACGAGTGAAGTTTAGACCAAAAAGTTCTACTTTGGTCTCATCTGACCACATGACTTTCTCCCATGCCTCCTCTGGATCATCCAGATGGTCATTGGCAAACTTCAGACGGACCTGGACATGTGATGACTTGAGTAGGGGAACCTTCCGTGCAATGCATGATTTGGAACCATGACGGCGTAGTGTTCTACCGACAGTGACCTTTGAAACTGTGGTCCCAGCTCTCTTCATGTCATTGACCAGCTCCTCCCTTGTAGTTCTGGGCTGATTCCTCACCTTTCTTATCATCAGTGATACCCCACAAGGTGAGATCTTACGTGGAGTCCCAGTCTGAGGGAGACTGACAGTCGTCTTTAGCCTCTTCCATTTTCTAACAATTGCTCCAACAGTTGATCTATTTTCACCAAGCTGCTTGGCAATTGCCCCGTAGCCCTTTCCAGCCTTGTGGAGGTCCACAATTTTGTCTCTGGTGTCTTTTGACAGCTCTTTGATCTTGTCCATGGTAGTAGTTGGCGTCTGACTGACTGTGGGGTGGACAGGTGTCTTTAAAGAGCTCAGACAGGTGCTACTAAGTTAGATTAATGAGTGGAGTAGAGGTGGACTTTTTAAAGGCACAGTAACAGGTCTTTGTGAGCCAGAATTCTTGCTGTTTCTTAGGTGTTTTAAATATTTATGTTCAGCAGTGCAAGACAAATAAATTCTTTAAAAATCATACAATGTGATTTCCTGATTTTTTTTTTTAATTCTGTCTCTCAGAGTGGGAATGCACCTACAATGTGAATTTCAGACCCCTCCATGATTTCTAAGTGGGAGAACTTGCAAAATCACAGGGTATTCAAATACTTCTGTTCCTCACTGTATATACACTGTCACTGTACTAATGGCACTGGCTGGGAAGGGGTTAAACATCTAGAGCGATCAAAGGGTTAACTGTGTGCCTAACCAGTGTTTATGTGTTTACTTTTAGGTGTTTTTACTAGTGTTTTACTGTTTTTCAGGGAAAAAAAACCCAGCACATCCCCACTGACAGGACAGAGCTCTGAAATGTTTACACATGCAGAGCTCTGTCCTGTGTGTCTCCTCACCAATCAACGGGTGCCCACGGTCATCCACTGGCTGGCTTCCATTGATTGACAAATCACAGCAGAAGCGGCACACCAGCAGCACTCATATGTGTCCCTGCCCCGAAGTGTAGAATCACGTGATTTTGCACAGAGCGGCCGTCCTGTAGCAGTAAAACTGCTATAGGACAGTCAGCAAGAGGTTAATGTATTTTAATTTATTATTTTTGCTCATATTTTGTAATTTATGTGATACTCTGGATATCTCTAAGCAATTTTATATTTTACGCTGAAAAATTCTGGTATTTGTAGTCTGCCTCATTCCATCAATGAGCTGCTGTGCAGCCTTTTCCTCCCCTTCTTTTTCTTCTGGTCCCGGTGTGCTTTTAGCTGGCATCTTCCTCTTCCCGGGTTAGCTTGACAAAGCGTGATGCCCCTGAAACATGTTACTGTCCTCCAACGCCCATGACATTGCTCAGTATTCTGTCCCAGAGCTGCATGAGGGGCAACCATAGATGCTGCCAGCTGTCATCCTAATCAGCAGGGTCTGGAGCCACAGAATAGAGGCTCTTTGATCGGATAGTCCAAATGAACTTCTGACACTGTATTTACCAACTACCTGCTGCACTCTTGGCTGGACATGAGCATTTAATATGTAAGTGTGCTACTTTTTTAAATAAAGTAATGTCACATCGGTTTCACTAAGTACTTATATGTCTTCTTGCCTGTTGTCAAAATTACTGGTATGCCCTGCACACAATACCCCATTTCATCTAGTGTTTATTGCCCAAAAACCGCACCTAAGCAAAATCCCATTTACTTCAACCCAGTTCACACATATACTGTATCAGGGGCAGACTGACCATTTGGAAACTTGGGCACTGCCACACTTTCATGCCCAAGGGCCCTGGGTCAGTAGGGGGCCCCATGAGATGCCCCTGGAACTTTTTTCATAGGCTTTTTTGAGTTTGGGCAAGGACACAGGGGCCCCATGATTCCCTATTGCCCGGGGGCCCCATGAGTTGTGAGTCCGTCCCTGTACTGTATATATATATATATATGTGTGTGTATGTATTTATTTATTTTTTTAAAGGGACTTTGCAATTAGTTCTTGTCTAATGCTGAATTTAGGTAAGGATAGGTGAACTTTGACTTTGGGTCCTGTAACATGTAAGCCTATGGACATCAAGTGCTTAAGGAATTTTAATCAATAAACTATAAATAACAAATTTATTGACATAACCAAATAAGTACATTATCTGTATCAGTATGTGAAAGAGAAAGCAGTCATAAAACGCAAAACATAAATATTTTATTTTTTCAAAGATGCTAGCAGTTTAAAGTAAAGCTGGAAATGAGAGAAGTACTGAGCTGCCATTTCTGTCTTCCTTCTGAAAAAAAAAAATATATATAGATATGTTATATTTATCTTTAAAGACAGGAGCTCTAAGTACCTGAATGTGAATTTGTATTAGTTCTCGTGGTCCCTGGGGGCTGAGTGGGAAAGAAAGGAGCAGCACAAGAGCCAGTTAGCTGATGGGCTGGCAATAAGCATTTGTATAGCAAGAGAAAGCAAAGTGACATAAAGATGAGCTTATCATTGTTTTGCTTCATTCAATTTGGAATACTGAGTTCAACTTCTGTAGAGGAAAGCTGTGGATTTAAGGTGAATATTGTAGCAAAAGTTTCTTTAATGTTTTACCTTTTAATGGGCTATTAATTTTTATTTATTTACTTTTGGCTGGAGTTTTGCATGCTGCACATAAGGGTCTGAAAATGTTGGTATTCAATTTCACTTTATTTGTTTCAGGTAAGCAACATAGACAGCAAAGAAACTAAAGCACCACCAGTCCATTTCACAATACCTTCTCTAGACAGTGTTTCTATCCAGTTATCTTCATTAGATAGAGGAGACCCCTTAAGGCAGAAAGTGTGTTACTGGGCAGGTCATCAGGTGAACATAAAGGAAAAAAAAACCTAATAAAAGAAAGTGAATGCAGCCAACAAATGTAATGATTGGTAAACTGCAATATATAAAATTGCTGTTTTTGTATTTAATAACTTGTATAACAACATTTATTATACTGATTTATTATAGATATAATACATTGTTGATTATAATGAATCAAACATTTAGGAATTATGTTTTTTGGTGGGGTTTATTTAATTGACTAATTGACAGAAAGAGTTAGGCTGGCGATACACTATACAATTTTCTGTCCAATTTTTGCCCAATTTGCTTTAGATTTACCTTCAACCATGTAGTGCAAGAGCCTGCCTAATTGGATACAATTGAAAGTGTTGTTCAGGTTTGACATCCTATTATATGGTTTTTGGTAAATCTAAAGCAAAAATCTAAAGAAAATTGTATAATGTATGGCCAGCCTTACTGTCAGTGTATGAGAACCTTTTAAATGACCTGAAATTACAGATCTGATTATTTTAGCTTCTGAGGATGCCCCAATGGATGAAACATGTAGGGGGGAGTTTACTAATCTGAGGTCATTATGTTGTAATTTCTGTAGAGTACTGATTTGGTGATGTCAGCTGCCACCAAATATACTTTAATGGTGGTTTTAGTCTTTAAATGTATTAATATTGTATCAAAGGTGATTCTTGCATTATTTGTGATTATTCTTTTCATATTTTGCAACTCTGGCTGTATTATCATTCATCCCTAGACATCATTGGTAATGCACTGTTCAGTGAGATGTTTTCCATGGTGGCAACTTACCAAGGCACAGATTGATATCCAGTTTAAGGTCTGATTATTTGATAGCATTTTTTTCATTACAGTGAAGGAAGCAGGAGTTTCCTGTACACTAGGGTGGATTGCAGAGATTGGAATTAGTTCTGCAAAAGTCCATTGATGGTAACAGAGTAATATCTTCTGTGGATGTATATGTTCATCTAGTACTGCTAGCAGTTTTTGCTATTAACATCGGGAGGAGGGATTAATGCAGTTTACTGATTGTCTTGTAGCAAAACACCTGGCTTGTGTCTAAGGCTTAATACTGTATATATGCATACAGTATGAATACAGTATATGTAAATATATATAAATACACAGTATATTAAAATGACCAGAGATAGAAGTGGTGGGGGAAATTGCTACATTGTATGTACTCTGATAACAGTGATAGGGACTTTAAATTCATTTAAATTAATTATTTTCTGTTACCCTCCCTCTTGCTTGATCAGGTGTTCTAGAGGAAGAAACCATCCTAAATAAGTATACAACAGGATTCTAAATATATCATTAGTTATAAAATAGACTGGTAAATTTAACTCAAATCAGATAAAATACTTTATTTTGATGTTTTCCATTTGAATGAACAACGTATGCAATAATTCTGGAAAAAGCTATTTATATATTGGTGTTTATTTAAAAGAATACAGTCTGAATACCATTTTATTACTTAGCTTATGTTGACAGTTTTTATGCTGTAAGTTCACAATGCCTTGGTAACATTCCTGTTATGTGATTGATATATATATATTTTTTTTTTTCTTTCAAAATATACTATTTAAGAAAAGTTATGTCCTTACATGAAACCTTTTTTAGAGCCGATTTAACTTCCTTATTTCTTAGCGTATAAATCAGTGGATTTAACATTGGTGTAACTATAGTATAAAAGACAGCAAAAAGTTTATCTGTATCAGGAGATGACTTGGATCGAGGTTTCATATAGGTAGCCATAGCTGAGCCATAGAACAAGGTTACAACAGTTATATGAGAACCACAAGTGGAAAAAGCCTTTCTCCGTCCTGCAGAAGAGCTTATTTTAAAAATGGCTCTTATTATTTTAATATATGTAATGATAATAAAAGTAATGGGTACAATTAAAATAATGACACCAACAATAAAGATCACAAATTCAACAACTATAACATTCCCACATCCCAAAGCTAAGATTTCTGGTACTTCACACTCAAAATGATTAATTTCATTATGTCCACAAAGATCCACATTCCACGTTAGGGCTACATGAGAAATAGATAAGAGAAATCCAAAAATCCATGTTCCTGTAGCTATTTTAATACACAAACTTCTGTGGATAATTGCAGTATAATGTAAAGGATAACATATTGCTATATAGCGGTCATAGGCCATTACAGCTAAAATAATACATTCTGCTTCCCCCAATGAAAGAGATATATACATTTGTGCAACACAATCTGCAAACAAAATAGTCTTTTTGACCACCATCATATCTCTCAGCATCCGGGGTATTATGGAGGATGAATAGCAGATGTCCACTAGAGACAGATTAGTGAGAAAAAAATACATAGGGGTTTGAAGAGTGCTATCAGTAACTGTAGCAAGGACAATAAGAGAATTTGCAACTAAAATGATCAAGTACATAATGAGAAATACCACAAAAAGTATGATTTGTATAGTTTGATTACTGGAGAGCCCAAGAAGGATAAATTCTTTGATGACTGTGTCATTTTTCCAAGCCATTCTGCAAAGAAAGGAAGTACAAAAAGCTCTGCATTATAATATATTTTATTTAATTGCTAATTTATTGTTAGTTTCCTACAATTATATATTCTTCATTAAAAATATGTCTGCTTCTTGTAGGAACTGATTTATGTATGAGTGAATGGAGGTGAAAAGGAATATAGTTGGAAGAAAATAAAAGAACTTGATCCTAATTTACTTAGGCATTTATAAACCCAAATACTAAGGTTGGAAAAATAGCTCCCAATTTTGCTTTGTAAATGCAGTTGGTCAATGATTTTACACTGTTGTGAGCAAATGTTTTATAAATACCAATTGGGCCTGCCAGTTATGCTATCTTTGAGGCCTTTTTTAATAGAGGGAGCACTGGTTCTCAGAGCAAAAGTCACCCTGTACTTTTATCCAATCCACTTTAGGCAATGCCATTGCTGCTTGATTGACAGCTACCATGATTATTTAGCAGCCGAAATTGGAAATTCCTGTGGCTGTAACTGCCACTTTTTCCAGACAGTTTGATTTACTAACAACTAAAACTAAGTTACAGAAGAACTCAGCACAAGAAATACTACTGTGTTAATCCTATTGACAGACTGCATTGTCATGTAATTTCTATTATTTTGACATTTTTCAAGTGTAAAGTGGGATGAAGTAAGCCTGTGCCTCAAGTCTGCAGGGGAATTAGAAATATAGAGTTTCTCTTTCTTCACAAGACTGGATGCTTAAAGTAAGCCTCAGTCATCTAGAACTTTTGCTTGGTGTTTTTGTGCCTCAAATTTGTTACTGCCTCCCAGATTCCACCTCTGTATATATGATGGACACCAGTTTTAAAAACAATTCTCAGTGTGTCACCCAGATGCACACTTATTTGCCATATGTGACTCCCAGGCCATGTCAGACTTACCTATAGTGTCTTTCTTCCTTCTATAGAGCCCTTAGCTATCCTTTCTATGACCACCTAGAGAGACTATTAGGGAGAAAATCTAGTTGTGTCTGTACATTTATCACAGAATCTACCTTGCTGCCTGTACCTGGCAGACTGCATTTTCAGTGTTTGCATCAAGACAATGTAAATCCAACTCCAACTTAGAAGCACAAAGGAATCCATCCCCTAGCATTTTTAGAAATAAAGAATCCGCTCTGACTGCAATACTCGCCTCCAGCATTGTGTCCCACAGACTAACCCACTCACCTATACAAGTTCAGCCATCTCCCAGGTTGAATTATGCAGTAGAATGATCTGGGATGTGTATCTCTTGATTACCCATCCTCTCTGCAGGGAATGTACTAGGTTACTGCCCTATGATGGTCTAGCTAGAATGTTGCTGAAATAAAGAGTGGTGGCATCCCTTATACTAACTGATTGCTGTATCATAGGTGTGTGTACCTTTGTATATAAAAAAAAAAAAAATATATATATATATATATATATATATATTGTGATAGTATGAAAGGCAAGGTGATCGATGGACGCTGAGTGTCACCTCGCATGCGGTCATATCTTGGAGACTAAGGTGGAGTCCACTCTGGGTTTTCTGAGCCACTATGGCAGAGGTGGTTCCGGACCTGATTTTGTGGTCCACTGATGACCACCAGCAGGTAATATAAATCAGGCAGGGCTGGAGCAAGAAGTTGCTCTTGGCCTGGGACTCTGTAAGGGAATTCCCGTGAGACGGCTGGTGAATAGACGTGCGCATGTGCACAGAAATGCATGATCATGCACACACACAGTGAAAATTGGCGCCAGATGGACTATTTAAAAGGTGCCTCTGCCTGTGCTGAGTGCTGACTGGTCTTCAGCTGTTCCCTGTTTCCTGCTCGTTCCTGTGTGATTTCCTTGTTGCTGACCCGGATTGTTCCTGACCTGACTCTGATTACTCTCCTGCTTGATACTGGTTCCTGACTTCGACTCTGCTCCTGACTTTGGCTTGCTTATGATTTGGTACCTCGTCGTCCACCCATTGATAACCCTGGATATTCTTTTGACACTGCTCCTGTCTCCCATCCCTGCTTCCTGCCTTGCTCTGGTGCACACATGGCGATCTACCATACCAGCTCTGCATATTACTACTGTGCCTGAATTGGAGGTTCATCAGTCTTCCAAAGTCTCCAACTGCAAGAGCTGCAAACAACATCTGCTGGAGCTCTTGTTCCCCTGGTCCCTAGACACCCTCTGTTCCACTTCCAGTGGGGTCAGGGCTAGTGACACAAGTGAAGCCGACCTCATCATCTCAGTCTCCAATCAGCTACGTGACAGACGCAGAGACTCATATCTGAATGAGCTGTGGATAAAAGTTTGTGTTATACAAACAAGGAAAAGGTTTGCTTACTGTTTTAATTTTTGTTGGTGACAGGGAGAAGCCCTTCACCTCAGAGAAAGGAATCCGCTGTGTTTAGTTAGTGCCTGGATGGCAAGGATTTATTTTCTGTTTTGTTTATTTTGATGCTGGCAACCTTGTAAATAAAACTGACGACAAGTCAGATTTTAAGAAAGCCCTGCTGTGTGGACTACCTTTATCCCAGGGAAGGTGATCCTCCACCTGAGCTACCCCCCCACAATATATATATATATATATATATATATATATATACACACACACACACACACACACACTTACCGACCAGCCACAGTATATATACTGCGACAGGTTGGCGCCTTATAAGCAAAATCATGCACATCATTTTGCCTGCTTGAGCTAAGGAGGGTGCTGTGTGTCCTCTGTGTGATCACATGATCACAATGTCAGCTGTGTTGACCTTGACATATGACAGCTGTGTTGACTATGCTGTGATTGGCCCACAGCTATCACTTGGTACCTGAGTCAGTCACAGCACCCCTGTACCATGTGATTAGCTGTAGCCAATTACAGATCAATAGTGATCAGAGCTGTCATGAATGGTTAACCCATTCATGACAGTGGAAAACTTTGCTGTTACAATGATCTTCATTGTAACAGCAAAGTGTAAAAAAAAATAAAACCCCTGATAACTTCCTCAGAGTAGTACAGTGTTACTATGGTGACACTGAAATACTCTGATTAAAGTATGTAAAAATAATAGTATAAAATAAAAAAAAGTTAAAAAATAAAAAAAATGAGTTGAATAATATATATATATATATATATATATATATATATATATATATATATATATATATATATATATATATATATTAATACTGTCACCAGTCAGTACTGCACTGGTGACATGCACTGGTGACAGTATGTAAAAATAAAAATTGTGAAAAAAAAAAATATTCAATTTGTTAAAAAAAAATTGTGACATAAAAGTTACAACTGCAAAAAGACTTGCCTTGCATCTTACTAAATACCAGGGCAGCTGTTAGAAACCACAGGGCCCCATACAGCCAACCTGAAAGCCCCCCCCCAAAAAAATAAACAACCCCCCCACAGTTACAAGTGAACACAGTGAGTGATCGGTACAGATCACTCATTGTGTTCATTCGGGAAAGGAAGGGGCTAGTAAATGTGACCCCACTCTTCCAAAAAGGGGTAATTTGTGGGGAATTTGTACTGTCCTGGCAAAGCTTCAAGAAATTAGGAAGGCTGTCAGTACATGAGAATCAAATACTAATGTCATAGTTTGTAGACTCTATAACGTGCATAAAAACTGATGGAAAAAACTGAGCAGATTTCACTTGCAGAGATATCAATTTACATCAGTTTCACATCAGTTTACCTCAGTTTTCATGCATGTTGACAAACGTTTTCATTGACATCAACCAGAGTGGACCTAGAAGGGGCCCTAGAGAATAAATTGGTGGGTTTAGCAAGTTTTTAATGCCACACGGTATTTGCACAGCAGTTTTTCAAATGCAGTTCAAATGGGGTATATATTTTTTTTAAAGTAGATACCCTAGTGAATAAAATGGTGGGTGCTGCAATTTTATTATGTCACATAGTACTTGCACAGCAATTTTTCAAACAGAAATGTTTTTTTAAAAATATACTTTTTTTACTTTTAATGCAAAAAAAACACAATATATTGGCCAATTGTTTGTTAAAATATAAAAGATGATGGTATGTTGAGTAAATATATACCAAACATGACATGCTTTAAAACTGTGTATGCCCCGTGCAATGTCATCTTCTTCTCCCGCTGCTTGTAAAAGCAATCCTGCAGCTAATTAGCCACTAGGATGATGCCTGGTATATACCTCATCATGGTATAACCACTCAAAGTCCAGTACGTGTCACTGGTCCTTGTTGGGTACATACAGAATGGGCTGAATGAAAAAAAGAGAAGGAATCTCTGCCAGAAAAAGTGTGTGGTATGCCCACCATTAGAATATACCACCCTGTATCCAAACACTTCTAATGGTGGGCACACATGCAGTGTTCAGATTCAGTAACAGGTTCCTCTATTCACATCAATTGATGTGGATGAAGAAATCTCTGCCAAACATTTTTTTTTAGATATATGCCAAAACATAGGGGCCATGCACACACTGGCCACCCCATGCCCCCATGCTTGGGCATATATGCTCTTTTTTTACTGTGGATGAAAAATATCATCCAATAGCACTGCACACACTTACGTATATTCTGAGAGCAAGACCCCCCTCCCCTGTTGCTGTCAGAATAAATAGATCGGTGCTGCAGCTGAATGGCATTCATGCAAAGAAAAACAGCAATGGTTAACAATAAAACAGTAACTCAATAAAACAACTTTTTGATTGAAATCTGTGCCAAAATATATTATAAAATATATACGCCACAGCATAGCGGCCATCTGCCCACTGGCCACCCCAGGCTGCCATGCTTTGGCATAAATGCTCTTTTTTAACTACGGATGAAAAATCTCATCAAACAGTGCTGCACACACTTATGTATATTCTGAGAGCAAGACCCCCCCCCCCCCCGTTGCTCTCAGAATAAACAGATCAGTGTTGCAGCTGAATGGCATTCCTGCAATGAAACGGAAACAGTTAACAATAAAACAGTAGCGATAAAACAGTAACAATAAAACAGTAACTCAATAAA